TCCAGCCAAGAGTGATACCATATATGCCCCATAGCTGCAGAAAAGGCTAACATTGTTATCTTTTTACAAAAAACAGTTAAACATGAGAGGTTTTTGGACAAAGTTTGTGTTCTTGATTCTTTAAGCACCGGCACAGTTTCAAAAGTACCGATTTGGCACCGGTATCGGATAAAACCTAAACGATACCCATCCCTACTCATGACTCTCAGGTTGTTGCCCGTAAAACAACAAAAGTGATCAATCGGGGTGAAAACCTCTCAGTTCGTTATCGTGTGAATCCCGTAGGAGGATCAGTGATTCTTGTGAGTTGCAGGTCGACAGACAGTCGAGTTAATAAAAGAACAATTTATTGACATTAATTATGAATGAATAACTAATGTGCTTTATCGGTAGTGTTCGGATGGATTTCCATAAGCACATGTAGCACAGGACACTCACACTGTGACCGTCTGTAAGTTTCAGCGGTTTAAATCCAGCCGTCCCTCACGGGTCCCTGCAGCTACTGACTCTTCTCACTGCTGTTTTCTTTCGTTGTCACTTTGTTCTGATCGCTGACAGTTTTATTTTTATTTATACCCTGCAGCGTCGCACAGCATCAAATCATTTATACTGAATACACTGTGCCACTCATTTAGTGAATATCATTACACGCAGCCTTCTGAAAACATTTTTGCAAATGAATTCATCAAAATAATTTAATTTTCTTTCAAAGACTGCTTTTCTTTCTTTTGTTATTAGGCCCTACGAGTTGGAAAGCATGTTCATGAAGAAACAACATGTTCGTGTAGCACACCTTCAGACGTTGCTGTATAAGCATCAGTACCAGTCCTCTTCAGGTACAACAATTTGTGCTCATAGATAGTTACTCCAAAAGCAGCCTGACCAGCTGAGACACACTCTAAATGTTAGACGATCACACAAAGGACCCACACTGTTCACCTCTCTCTCTATTATTTGGCATTTGTTGCTCTTAGTTCCAACATGAGCTGTGATAACTGAACAGATCGCTTCGTGCTGATATTCCAGGATCAACTACGCCACGTCTTGGGCTGCGAGCGGCTGCTGCAATCTGAGCTGAATTTTCTGCTCCTCTGTGGAGCATAAAGCTCAGGACCAACATGACTCAGTGTTGTGTGAAAGAAGCACAAACACAGAACTGGATTGTTGGTGAGATCAGTCGCACACCTTATGGCTCAGCAGATTTAGCACAGTCCCCATCGCCGCTGTAATTACACAAACCTCCCTCCGATTACATCTATGTAATCTGGATGAGAGCCCGACTGAGGCTGAGGCAGATTGCATCTTCAGCCTCACCACATTTTTCAGTCAGCAGACAGCAGGGTTGTGTGTGCAAGCAGAAACGCTGACAGCTGCTTCGCAGGACCTAAAAATATCGCGCTGGGGAACAGACCACTTCCCAGGTACCAGGGGAATGGCTGGAATGCCAAGGAAGGGTCATCAGTAAATCACGCGCACGCACAAACCAGACGTAAAGAAGCAGGACAAGGAAAAAACAGCTGAGAATGATCTCAGACGAGGTGCTGGCATCTGTCAGAAAACACACAACAAAGTCAGCTTCTCACACGGTCACGTCCCCTGAGCTTTATTTTTATGATAGCCATAAAAGAGACACATGCACACTCATTTTCATATCTTGTGGGGACATCTCATTGACACAAAGCTTTCCCCAGCTGCTGACCCTGAACCTACCCATAACCCAACTGTAACCCTGACACTAAAACCACATTTTGAGTTTCAAAAATACCTTCAAACTTGTGGGGACCTGGATTTTGGTCCCTATGAGTAAAGTAAACTTCTAATTTTTGATCCCCACAAAGATATGAATGAATACACACACACACACACACACACACACACACACACACTTAAAGCAGCTATACAGATGTTGCTGAATTTTGACAACATTTATGAGTCACTGCTTTTGCAAAAGGATTAAAACAAGATCAGATCTGGATGAAAAAGTCAATCAGCTAATAAAGAAGAAAAAATTAAGCTTGTATTTTCTTTGTGCCTCAGTAAAGTCCGAGTTATGCTGTTTCACAGATAAAACAAGCTTTGTGAAGTCTCAAACATGAAGATTAGAGAAACTCATTTGCAGCTTAATCATCAGAATCATCATCAGCGGAGCCGCAATCAGTTTAACTTTTGATCCTGTGTCTGACATAAGCAAAGATTAGGTTCACCCATAGGTTCATATGGGTACATCTGTGAGTACATTCACTAACATGATGTTTTATCTTACTCTTAATGTATCTGTGTAGGTTCTCAGACATCCAGGTCAAGCGACTAGACTTCATAAAGTTTCTTTAAGACGTTTCACCTCTGAGCCGGGAAGCCTCTCGGTCGCTTTTCTCTCCAGCTCCTTAGAAGCTAACATT